AACTAATATATAAATTGAAACTGATAATTGGTAGTGTACATGTACTAATAGCAACACGCTAATGGTTGCACGAGTTTTCGTGATGTGTTGCATTTTAAGCAGACTGTTCTCCACGTTCTGGCATCGTCTACATCATAGGATGTCTTGGCAGCGTTGTGGTAGTAGTCCAGCAACAATGTTCTAAATCGTACCAGTGAGAGATCTTTTTGCCTTAGATTTTCTGGCAGAGAGTTGTAAGTTCTTATTACTCTGATGAAGAAAGAGCGTTGGTATGTCAGCGTCTTGCATTTGCGAGGACGGAAGGAGAGCAGGTTGGTGTCAACCGAGGTTCTAGTGAGTCTTGATGGAATAATTGGCTGCGGAAGGATTTCGTTCGAGACAGTTATAATGTTGTTTACAGCTTTAAAGAAAAACATGATGTCAAGGTACTCGTGCCAGTAGGTGATTGGTAGTAAGTCTAAGGAGATCAGTCTCTCTTTGTACGTTTCTCCACACACGTATGGTAATTTCAAAATGAACTTTGTAGCTCGTCGTTGGATGCGTTCTGTCCTCGTAATTAAGTCGATCGATTGTGGTGACCAGACTTGAGTGGCGTAACTTAGCGTTGAGCGAACAATTGATAGGTACAGTGTGCGGCGTATCTTAACATTTGTAATTTCCGTTGCAGCCCTATGCAGGAAACCAAGCATTTTGTTTGCCTTCGCACAGCGATCGAGGGTATGGTATGACCAGTTTAACGTGTCCGTAATCCATATACCTAAATCTTTCTCTTTTTCGGTGACCACCAGGGACTTGTTATTGATATTATATTCATATTTGATAGGATTCTTTTTCCTTGTTACACGCTGACATTTGCATTTGTCTTGGTTGAAGACAAGGCCAGAAGATGTTGACCAGTTCTCCAAACTACTCAGGTCACTTTGTAAGGAGATGGCATCGGAAGTGGAATCAACTTTCTTAAATAGTTTCGTGTCATCGGCGAAGGAGGCGATCTTGGAGTGCCCTACTGCATCCGGCAGGTCGTTCGCGTACAGCAGAAACAGTATGGGACCTAATATTGAACCCTGTGGAACTCCTGACAGGACAGGTCTCGCGGAGGATGTAGCTCCTAGCACAGTCACACGTTGCTTGCGATTTATCAGATATGACTCAAACCAGCGAAGGAGTTTACCAGAGATGCCATAGACGTTCCTTAATTTGCTTATCAGATATTTATGGTGAACTTTGTCGAATGCCTTGGACATGTCCATGTAGACTACATCAGTTTGCTTGCCACCATCCAGAAGTGAACCAATATAGTCAAGAACCTCTAATAGCTGAGTTGTACACGACTTTCCGGGAATAAAACCATGTTGGCTATCATTGATTAATTGCAGCAAATGATCACGTATATTTCTCCGGACACAACGTTCTAGTACTTTCGATATTATGGAAAGAAGGGAGATAGGTCTATAGTTCTCTACTTGGCTCTTTTCGCCTTTTTTGTGTACCGGAACAATGTTTGCTAATTTCCATTCATCAGGTATTTCGCCACAGCTTAACGACTTGTTGAATATTTGGGTGAGGGAAGGTGCAATCTGCCACGCAGTTTCTTTTAAAAGTCGAGATGGTATTCCGTCAGGTCCAGTAGCCTTGGTGGTGCCTAGCGCTAAGAGTGTTCTTGCGACTTCTTCTATTGTTAGTTGGAGGTCTGACTGTCCTGACGTTGAAGGTGGAGATGATGGTGAAGAGGAACGTTCTTCTAGGTTATCATGATCAGTGTTGAACACTGATGTGAAGTAGCGATTGAATAGATTGGCAATAGCAGTAGGAGTAGACACATCATAAGTTTGTGATGATTCAGGTTCAGCGGCATTTCCCATTGACATAATATCTGGAACACTTGATTGTTTATTGTTCAGCTTGAAGATCGACCAAAATCGCTTTGGGTTTGTTTGGAAGATGCCATCAAGAGAATTGTAAAATCTTTCACGACTTTCACGGACCATTTTTTTAACTTTGATTCGTAGCTCTTTAAATTTAGCAAGAAGGACGTCAGATGGAGATGATCTTAACTTCCGTCGCACCGCTTCTTTCTTCCTTATCTCGTGAATAATGCTTCCATTAATCCAAGGGGGAGAATTTCTACCTTTGATCTTCTTGGTTGGGATGTAATTTCTCACCACGCTAAGGAATGTGTTTTTCCATTGTTCCCAACAGTCATTAACATTTTCTCCTGAATCGATTATATTCGAAAAATCAGTCATCGCTAAGGCTGAACGTAGTCCGTCCATATTCTCTCTACGGTAATCAAAAACAGTTCTGTTCAGTTTAGGAGCTGCTTTTATGGACGTTTTCAAATTGAAAAGGATTGTGTCGTGATCGGTAAACAAACCACTGTCTATTGGCTTAAGTTTTGTAATGTTCTCAATCTGATCTGGTAGGCTAGTGATAATTAGGTCTAAGATGTTGTTTCCACGTGTGGGCAAGGTGTTGACCTGAGTTAGGAAGAAATCATTCAATTGTTCCGTGAACATAATGTCATCACCGGATGAAGTGGCAGATGGATATTGCCAGTGGAGTTTGGGAAAATTGAAGTCTCCACAAATTATTACGTTGGTGTAGCGTGAAGAAACTTCTGCTAGGAACGAGTTAAATTTTTCCAACCAAGATTGATCCGCGTTGGGTGGCCTGTAGCAACAACAGATGACGTATTTCAGATTTGAGGTTGTGACAAGTTCTGTTGATACAACTTCAATATCGGTTTCGATGTCTACATCGCGTGAGGAAATGAATGAACTTGATTTAACTGCCACCATTACGCCGCCACCAGTGCGCATTTCCCGATCTTTTCTGTAGATAGCGTAATCGTCATGGAGAATTTCAGTGTTCGCAACATCTTTTGTGAGCCAGGTTTCCGTTACCCAGACAAGATCCGCGGCCTCAGAGTAAACAAGCTCTTGAAAACGGGAGAGATGACAAAACTTTTTCCCGTCTAAAACATGCTGGCTTTTTAAGCTACGGGCGTTCAGGACAAGACATGTGGTGGGGAGTTCTTTCGATTTCCGGTTCTTTGGTTCATGCTGCGATTCGGAACTGAACGATATAGTTCCTCTACAAGGGCCTGGATTAGTGGCGATATCTCCAGCAAGGAGGATACACAGAAGTAGATGTAAATTCTTATGTTTTATCTGAAGTTCCAAACCATACCGGTATTTACAGGGGTAGTTGGATTTTCTTAAGATATTGTCTCGTGTTGATGTCCAAAGTTGATTGAACTAGGGGAAAAACTTGCGAATAAAATTCCTCGATCGAATATTTTACCGGATAGTTTTCTCAGTGATGTACACCATCCAGTTAATGGGCTCCCTAGCTTTCAAGAAATTTCACAAAATGATGTTTTAACTCTACTTCATG